CACACACACATACACAAACATATTATATGTATGTGTATATGTATATATATATATATATGCCAAATGTATAAAATGTGTATTTTATAATATAATAATAATAATGATTTATTAATTTGCATTTATGTAATTAATAGTACATTTATTATTATTTACATGAAAAATGAGTGTTTACTATTGTCATTTTGCATTATTGACACTATTTTCCTAATTAATACTGTTCAGTTGCTTTGTCACAATCTGTATTGTTAAAAGCGCTATATAAATAAAGGTGACTTGACTTGACTTGACTATATATATATATATATATATATATATATATGTGTGTGTGTGTGTGTGTCTGTGTGTGTGTAGTTATAGTTACTCGAGCTGGAATGGCAATAGAAACATGTTGCTGCCCCAGTTTTTGCCAAACTAATGCAGTTCCCAATCAATTACGGATGAGTGTTTAACTAGTTAATGATTTACGGTGCACTGCGGATGTGAGTTTATCCTAACACTTTAAAAGAAACCACTATCAACATTAACATACGACTGGCAGCAGCTATAGCATCCGCAAAGATCTCCAGAGCTTTTAACCATGAGCCAGACGAGTCTCTTCCAGGTTGGTGGGGTTTGATAGTGAGGGTGGTTGTACAGGAGCTGCAGGTTTGATTTACAGCCCCTTGCACTAGTGTGATTCTCTTGTTAAACATTTAGATAGGGCGCAGTGGCCTGCCTCTCAGACGCGGGGAGTGAGTGCGTAAATCACACGGTTAAATAAGCACTGGTCAGGCTGCAACACACGCCGTCACTCCACACTTCAGGACATGATGTACTTCATTGACAAGCATGTGAACGAGAATACAAACACACACACATGGATATCTAACCCCTGAAACAAGAACAAAACAAAAGACCTTAGAATATTTTCATGGGATACTATTTAAATGTCATTACTTTAAATTATTGATAAAGTTATATGTGTTATGATGTAATTGTTTAAATACATTTTAATAATGATATTATTTTAAAAATATTATTTTAAATAATCTTTCTATTATTATTATTATTATTATTATTTATAATATTCATAATGAATATTTATATAATTCATATTTAGGTGTATTATTTATTTATTTTATTTAAATAATATAATTACGCAATATCTAATAAAATTGGAACTTGTTCAACATAAGTAAATAAACAAGGAAGATAACAACGGTTAATACAATCCAAATTAAATTAACATAAAAAATTAAAATACTCATTAAAATATTATTTAGAAATATAGCACAATAACGGCAATATTATAGTGGTTGCTTCAAGAAAACAAATATATTCAAGCAGTTCCACATGAAATACAAACATGATTTTTTTTAAACTAATATATTTTGTAATATTTTAATATAACATCATTTTAGTCTTTTTTTTTTGTTTAATAAAAAAAAATCAAGAAAAATTATTTTGTGAGTGTACAGTTGCAGCCTGAAAATTATGTATTTAACTTTTAAATTTTCCATCTTTAATTATTACTATTAAGATTTTAAAAAATTTTATAGAGATTTCTGGTGTCAGGTATCAATTCTTGGAAATGATCAATTTAAATGGCTGTACAAATGACTCCAATAAGACAAAAATCTTATTTTTTTTCTTTCACATTGTACTTTTTCCCCCCGAAGTTGTACATAGAACAAAGATTACTGCAGTACATTTTACAAGAAAAAAAAATCTGTATTTCTACTTAAAAATGTCATTGTGTTACTTGCTGTTTCTCTGCAATTATTTGCGAAATTTACTCAAATTTTTGAATGAAAATAGTTTCAAAGTTAATTCTACACCAATTTTTTTCAGCACAGGCAGCTCAGGAGCTAAGAGGGCTTTAGTTGAGTCTTTCAGTGAAGTTTATTTTCAAAACAAGGCATTTGGAATGATAATTGGAAGCATTTCCTGGTGAGCCCTTTCAGTGGAGATCCATTCAATCTGATCTAATGGAGAGGTCAGTTGGGCCTAATGAGGACAGATTGCAACAATAACAGCAGATTAACTGTGAATATTCTAAACTGCTGGGGCTGAGAGTGTGTTTGGAGGGCCAGTCAGTTGTAAATCAGTGAGGGATTATGCAAACACCCTGCGGCTGAAGCTCACAGCCTGAGTCCTGCGGCCCGAACAAAGGGGTCAAGCCTGCTCTCTCCCACTGCTAGCTAACTTTCAATCACAAAAAAGAGACTCGGGCCAGAGCACAACGGAGAGAGAAAGAGAGGGGGATGTCAAATCCTTGCATGAGACTCCTTATGCATCCCCTGCAGTGCTCTGACTCAGTTGGGACGAGTGTGTGTGCGGGACTCACGGAGTGTGTGCGGAGAACTGCAATGATTTTGGACAGGGCCATGTTCCACAGCTCGTCTGTGAAGGCTCTGGTCACTAGGCCTTGGGTGGCGTGTAATATGTGATCCTCCACCACAAAGAACCTGCAAAGCATGATGGGAGATGGCATTACTTGAAGTACATCGACTCTGTAGATGAGAAAATAAGACTTACTGCCCTGCACATAAATAACTTCACAAATAAATCCAGATTTAACTTACCCAACAATCTGATTAAAGTACTTCCTGTAGCCCTCCACGGTCTCATGCTGGAGTGAAACACGTGCAATTAAAACATATAAAAACAAATCAAACGGACAGGATTGTTCAAAGATCAAAGAATACAAACCATGTTAGACTGAGGTTGCAGTACTAGTCTTGCTTGCTTTTTTCTTTGCTTCCTATAGTAATTTTCAAATGTCTCTCTGTCTCCCTATAAAGAAAGAGAATATGGCATTAAAGTGTGTTTAAAAACAAATTAATATCCATTTCATTTGATTTATACAAGAGCATTCAACTTGCACGGCACGTAATTGTGCATTTTACCCCAGAGCAAACTGCACTGGAGATTAATCAGGTTAAGGCACACAAGACACGGAACGCAAACCAGTCAACTGTAACATCACTGATTGACTTCAGCAATTCATTGACAATTTCACTTGTTGTTGTTGTTGTTGTTGTTGTATAACGGCGCTTTCTACTGAGCTCTTTTATGGTGTCTCGTGCCTCGAGTTTCATGGGAGTCATACTCCAGGACTCCACGTCGCAAGTGCAATGCTGTATCAGGTGGGCTACCAAGCAAGTTTACTACATCTGAAAAGCCATACATATGAACAGGTTATGTGATGCAAACATCAAAATTGATGTAGTTTGAGGTCAAAACATAGTATTGCGCAAGGAACTGTCTCTATTTATGGATTATTTGCCCCGTTCTCACAAGGGTTGGGTATCGATTGGGTTTTATACGATACCGGTGCCAAATCGATACTTTTAAAACGGTACCGGTGCCTAAACGGTGCCTGAACCGATACTTAAAAAAAAAAAAAAAGTATCTGCGGTCTGCGGATTAGGGATGGGCGTATCGATCCGAAGTATCGATATATCGATACTGACGCGAGTATCAAAAGAATCCATACTCAAATAAAAAATATCGATATTAAGGTGCGTTTTATTTACCAGTGGTTTTATTTAACAAAAATAATAATAATAATGCGTACAATATGCATTGAATTGAACGAATAACCTTAGTTAGCGAGTAATTGTGTAGGACAGAACTATTTTCCTGCTCATCTGAACACACGCAAATGTTGCAAGACAGAACCAATCAATCACAGAGAGCGTTCACTCACTGCTGACAGTGCATTCAAACAGGGCTGCGTTTCCCAAAAGTATCATAAGAAAGCATTAAAGCTTTTGGGAACGGCAGCCCTGAACAATGCTTATCAGAGGACAGAAAAAAAAACATAAATGTTTGAGTTATTTCACAATAAACAAATTGAAATTGTAGCCTACAGTTTGTGCAATTACAATTATTTAAATTGAACGTTGAAAGATAATATTGATCATGTTCTATTCTGTAATGTTAATAGAAATCATACACTGTAAGAATAAGAAGGTTGCATTGTATGCATGCAATAGCCATTCACTGGCAGTCCCTAATGGCAGTACAAAATATTGCACTAAATCAAAAGTTCAAATGTTACAAATAAGTTAGAATATTAATGTTGTAATACTGGTAGCACTAATATAAAAATGCGATGATATATTTTACAAAAAAGTAACAATTTTGAAATACGTTGATGGTTGTATTTTTTTGTATTTGATCTCAGTATTCCTATCAATGTTGTATAAGGGTTTTTTATGCATAATAGTAACCCTAGAATGTGATCAAACAGTTTAAAATAGCTGGGCTAAGATATATAACCATTTTTAAGACTGCAGAAATATGTTAATTCAGTATACACATTATCCTACCGGTTACAATTGTGACGGACCATAAAATAACATTTTTCACACACTTTTCAAAAAAAAAAAAAGATTGATTATTTCAAAGGGTTACTAATGACACATCATTTGGATAATTTCATGTCTGGGAAAAATTTGGGATTAAACGGGCTAAAATGCGTTTTAAACAAAGTTAAGTGGTTTTCATTACCCATTTTACGCTTAGTAATTTAATAATTTAATACATTTCATAATTTAAAAGTTTAGTGCAGAAGTATCGAATCGGTATTGATATCGACGATACTGCCTTGAAAAATAGGGTATCGTCCATCCCTACTGCAGATTGAAGAGCACGCTGAAAGACGGGGAGGAGAGGAATTCTGCCGCCCATTTCATATGAAATTTAAAGGGGACTGACACGGAGGCGATCACGAATTTGTGTACAGTTTATGGAGCTAACCGCTATAGCCTACTGCAGATTGAAGAGCACGCTGAAAGACGGGGAGGAGAGGAAGTCTGCCGCCCATTTCATATGAAATTTAAAGGGGACTGACACGGAGGCGATCACGAATTTGTGTACAGTTTATGGAGCTAACCGCTATAGCCCCGCTAAAAATGGCCTAGCGACGCCCATGCTTCTTACGTCCATTTCGGAGAACCAGGACAAATATTTCAATCGAACGTTCAGCCATTTAAGTGGCTCCGAAATGAGGCACCGAAATCTGCGTTCTGATTCGATTCTAGTACATACCGGTTACATAGGTACCCAACCCTAGGTCTCACAATTTGTGTGAAAAGGAATAAAACCGGTTGCCGTTTTGTAGCGTAGTGATAATTTCTGCTAGAAACTGCAGTGAAATGTACGTACAGGTACGTTTTTGTGGTTTGGCTGAAATATAGGCAGAATCTTGTATTTCCAGTGAGCTTACGTTGATTGAAACATGCAATCTCTGTGAATATAAAGCACCTGTACCCCCCCCCCCCCCCCCCCCCCCCCCTCTTCGGGTGTGGGGGGGGG